GTTTGGTAAAAAGGCAGGTGAAAAGGCAAAGGTATACTAAAATACTGGGGTTATGCTATAAAGTAGATGCTAGGGTCTAAGTGTAGTCTACAAGGGCATAGCAGATTAATGATTAGTCCTGATCGCAAATGTTGATTCTGCTATAGTGATACCTAGGTTAGTTGTAAAAATAGGTACAAAAGGCTCTAGAGGTTTACCTTAAGGATAAATTAGTCTTAAGATTAAGACAATGATCTGAGCATCTGGGTATAACCTAGTGAGTTAACACAGATTACAGATTCAGAAAGTTTAAAGTAGAACATACAAGCAGAGATGTTAGATATAGCAATTGGTAAAAAATCTTCAGGTGGACTCTTTAAATAGGTAATATAGAAAAGTTATATGTGTAGCTAATTGTACTCTCTTCTATAGTGGTTCATTGAATTACAATACTGATAAGTGATTAATAAAAGTCAAAAGACCAAAGAGGTCACCTTAATATCAAAAAAAAAAAAAATTTGATAAAAATTTGTAATTATATATAGAAATAATTAATGTTATACTTTATCTTTAAACTTACAATAAAGTTTAAAAATGACTTAATTATAATTTGGGCTTGTTTTATCTCTTATTGCATTAATGATTTTTGCAAAATTAACAACACAATAAATGTTAAATTATATTGACAAATAGTTTGTAAAAATTTTTTAAGAACTATAAAAGATTATAGTTTTGATATTAAGAATATTAATTTTTTAACAAAATGATACAACTTCATATATAGCAACTTTAATTAAATATCTGCTTAAAAAGAATAAAGTTAAGTTTTTTGATTGATCTTTCCAATTATCTGATCTTAATTCTATTAAACACTTGTAAATTAAGATAGACTGATATCTTAAAAATCTTTCTGATCAAATTTCAATTAAATGAAACTTTTGAGAAAAGATTCAAAAGATTTGATAAGAAATCGATTTTAAAATCTGCATGAACCTAATTAAGTTAATGCCAATATATATTCATGATGTGATTAGAGCTCAGGATGATTACATCTAATGATAAAGGTAAAAATTAATTAAAATAAAAATATTTTTTATTTTTGATACAAATTTTTTTTTTGTATTTTGCAATGATGCTGCTATAAAAAATAAGCAAAAATAATGCAGCATATCAATTTAAATAAAACTTGTGCTTATAAAAAATTTAGTTTATTTTTTTTTTTAATTTTATTAGTGAAAATGCTACTATTTGTAAATTTAATAAAAAAAAATCAAAAATTCAACCCGAATTGTGTAAAATAATATGATTAAACTATTTTTTTTTGCTTCATTATTTATGATTGCCACTGTATCTTGTGATCCAGTTATTAGAATTGGATGAATTTTGTACCATTCAATTCATCTCAATGAGACAAATCCAATGGTATAAAAATTATCTGATTTTAATTACTGGATCACAAATTATTGACTGTAAAATTTATATGTCCCATAATACCAATATACTATTTATTATTATTTTTTATTGTTTTTTTTAAATGAGTATATCTTTCAATTCAGTAATTAGAATTTAATAATTTTTATATCATTAGATTTGTCTTATTGAGATGAATTAGAGGTTGAAACTGGTTTTATTTATAAGAACCAGTTTTAATCTTTTGCTCAAAATTGAACCTGGTTTTAAACCAAATTTAAACAAAACCAGATAATTCAGTTTTGCGATTGTAATAAATTTGCAAACTCAGATTAATCCAAATCTAAGTAAAACCACAAAACTGAATCAACCCAAATTTAAATAAAACCAGATAATTTGATTTTGCAGTTGTAATAAACTCACAAAACCAAATTGACCTGAATCTGAATAAAACTGGATAATTCAATTTTGTAGTTATAAAAAACAAACTTATCACAAATTCTTAGCATTCCTTTTCGTATAAAGATCATTAGTACCAGGTATACTAGGTATGTAGATCTTGCAAAAAAATTATTTTAGCTTTTTAATAGATTACATTACAATATCAAATTACATCCATAAGTCTTTTAATAGTTGATATTTTTGTTATTATGACTTTAAAATCATAAATATCTGCTGCAAACGTAAAACTGCTGATTATCAATAAATTTCTTGAGCGATGTAAGGCAAGTCTTAATAAATACTACTAGAAATGGTAGGTTTTAACTATGTAAAATATTGCTACTATAGAAAACAGTATGAACAATCGCAATGAATTTTTTGTAAATTAGAGATTGAAGCCAGTTTTAATAATTCAGATTTTTCACATGAATTGTGTGATTGTTAAAATTCATGTGATAAACCCGAATTATTAAAACTAGTTTCAACCTCTACTCAAGATCTTCACCATTGATATATTGAGTGTTTTAAATTAATTCATATGTTTTAAATGCTAATCTCGACATTATTGCAAGTTATTGTTAACCTTTAAACATTCTTAAAAAAAATTAAGAGATCCTTTCAAAATCAGAAAGGTCTTAAGTGTAATTGTGATAGGTGATTTACATAGATAAAGCTATCATCATCATAGTTTTTGTACAATTATATTGTAGAAAAATAATGAGAAGCTTACACAACATAAATAAAAAGCTACTGAAATAACTAATATAAAAACTACTTCTAAAATTTCAATATCTGCATTCTTTCCTTTATCAAACACCCATTTCAGATATTTAATATTTTTTCTTGATCCTGATTTCACATTTTCCTATGCTGGCATACTCTAAACAAGTGAAAAACTGCCAGCTGATGCCACTTCTTGCTTGGTCTACTGTTATGATGATATCTGGTGCAATTCTACTTGCTAATCTTCTAAAAACATATCATCATTTCAGTTCAAATTACTTAAAAGTTATTAATAATGATCAATTCAATGTATTCTGCAGACTTAGAGTGTTTTCAAGTGCCTAAATCAATTGATCAAAAATAAAATTTTAAATAGTCAGGTGTCAAAAAAATTAATCAAGTGAATTGCATCTTTTTTCATTAATACTGATTGGCTAAAACTACTTATTGATAGGGTAAAAAAGGAGACTGTTCAAGCATTTTACTTTATATTATAGATCTTTAGCGAAATTGTAATCATCAAAAAATTATTATATTGTTTTTATATTAGAAACTCTTGTTGCTAATAAAAAACTTATGCCAATATTTATTATTTTCTAACTTTTATATTAAGTGCAACAATTTTATTTTATTTTATTTTTTTCACTACAAAAAACTCTTTGTATTCAAATACTTCATTATTGTTTGCATTGGTTTTGCTCGAAACTAAAGACGCAAAAAGTCACGAATTGTAAGTCTATAAAGGAGAAATTGAGACACTTGATTAGTGATGGAAAAAATGTACATATGATAATAATATGCACATGAATGTGCATTAATGCACATAAAATGTATCATGTGCATAATATTGCATAATAAAAAAAATGTATTGTTTTGTCTCTCATTTGCTTGTGATTAAGATGAAAAAACAAACAGGTATTTCTTTTGCTGTTGAGCATTCTACGCAAATTTATAGAATCAAATATGATCCTCTTTCTTCTTTCCCTTTTTTTTTTTTTTTTAACTTTAAATTCTAAAATAACTGTCATCATGACAGGCCAAAACTTGTTTGTGAAATGCTATGCTGAATTTGGATTAACTAAACTAATAATAAAATTTTTACATGACTGTCGTCTTGACAGACCATCTATTCACAATCTTCAATTGATTGAAAAATACCTCCCAATGGTTACAGATAGGGTGGAAGAGATTGACAAAACCAAACTAAAGTTGGGTTCGCAAAAGAAATAGAGTTATCTTTAACTCTATTCATTACAATACTTAAATACTCAAAACCATTAAACTCAAATATGTCAATATTACTGAACTGATTTACTAATCGCAATTATTACCTCATAATTCCAAAGTCTATTTTATTACTAATACTAACAATATATTAACACATTATCTCGAAATTACCCATGTGACTGTAATTGGGCATGTTATATACCTTGATACAAGCTGATTCAAGACAAAAGCTGCCTCGATACTATTATATCGAGCAGCCTTAAAAAATGAAAAAATGATCAAAAAGAGAGAAATCTTGATAAGATAAAATGTGCATAATATGCATAATTCTGCAATCATGCTAACTCATGAAACCCATTTCTATACTTGATGTTGATAGTCACATTTTTTTGCTACAAATTGCTAAAAGTATAATAAATAAAACAATGTTATATAATGATGTGAATTTTTTTGCCATGATATTTTTTTTTGTGAAATATCACTGAAAAAACTTCACATGGTCATATTAACTATCCAATAACATCATTATTGAATATGCATATAACAAATAGCAGGCATTTTTTTTTCATTAGAGTTAAGTGCTGCTATGCAGCATATAGAGTAACTTAACTCTGACAAAAAAAAATTAACTATTATTTTTTGTCATCTGCCTAATAATATATACATAGTCTCTTAAATAATGATCACAATTATTACTTCAGTCAATTGTAATGATTGAGCATCATCTCAAATCGCATTGAGGGAGTTGCTTGAAGATGCCCTTAGTTTTATTATAAAAAGATGTATTACAGTATTGATCAAATAACAATCTGAATTACTTTCTATCCAAAATATATTAGTGAAAAAACGTTTTTAAATAATATACAGTCAGACCCCTCTATTGTCACACTTGTTATAAGCACATTATACAAAATACCTTTTTATAATTATATATAAATGTATTAAAAAACCTTTTTATAAGCACATCTTAATAAAAATCTTTTTATAAGTACACAAATCTTTGTCTCAAAAGGTGTGATTATAGAAGGGTCTAACTGTAATAAAAATTGAAACTATTTATATTTCATATATTTAAATAATATTATTTTTAAGCATTCTTACTATATATATATATAGGCCTAATAAGCAATAGTTATTTTATACTTCCTCAGGTCAGAATATACTAAAATGCTCACTTTTCTTTTTAAAAACAAAACCTGGTTAACTAAGTCCAGAGATAGTCAAGTACACTTTGCAGAGATGTAATTTTCTGCATCTGAGAACAATCTCTCGCTAGGTACAGATATGGTGGAAATTGATAGATATTTTAATACAAGTAATAACAAAACTAGAAACTCGTTTTTGTTTACATTCCACCATTCTAAAGAATCCTGATCAACACCTATTTGCTGATATCTTATATAATGTATAACTTCATTCTCCTTAGTTAAAGATGAACTACCTGATTCTTTACATTCTAATGCTTAAAAAAAATCATTATCATCATCAGTACAATCATGAGTAGATGCTGTTTGTTGAGTTGGTTGAGCATGAACATCTTTAGTTTGAAAATCTTTTGCAGAATTATATTGAATTTGCAATAATTCAAGTGACACATCTCTTTCTTTACCCGTATTATCCCATTTGAAATCTTTAAATTAAGAATCGAGTATTGTAGCAATTCGAACCAAATCAGATGGAGCTGACCACAACTCATCAAGTGATAAAAAAATAGCTGCTCAAATTTTTTTAAGGAGACCATCAGTATCAGCAACTAATAAATATTTAATATTATTGAAATCATTTATATCTTTTTCAGAATTTTCTTTCCTAGCACCTTTTTTATGTCTATAAGAATTATTTGCTTTTTCTTTACCTTTTTTTTGTCCTTTTTCTTTATCTTTCTTTCGTCCTTTTTCTTTAGTTAACTACATTTTTTGTCTAAATTGGTGATGAGCATATTGCTAGTGTTAATGTGAACCACCAGATGGGATTTCATCTCTTTCACTTGTTAAACTATCTGAATCTTCTATTCCTTCTTTATCACTTTCACTTTGTGACTTGTATATCAAATCGAGGTATATATCATAAGTTTCCCCACTTTCATAATTAGGTGCAAATGTTTTTTTTAATAATTCTATATAAGGATGAATGAGCCTTAAAGTACAGTATTAGGGGTGTGACGACCTAGTGAAGTGGTCAGGTTGTCAACCCCCCAAGTGGTAGGTTGAGTGTTCAAATCCCATCGACGGCGAAAATTTGGATAATCACCTATGTAATATTCATATTATGGCAACTGTTACTAACG